GTGTTATGCCTCATAAAATGAGGTTTACCAGCGTCGACAAAACTGCTGAGTTCTGTCGACGTTATGTCGACAGAACTCAGCGGTAGTGTAGACGCTGGTATAGTTTAGTCGACAAAAGTCCACTTTTGTCGACAAAACTCTGTAGTCTAGACACACCCTAAGTTAGTTCGAATTAGTGCTGTAGTGTAGACATACCCTGAGCGAACCTCAGAAACCTTGGGAATGTATCTAAACCTCCTCAGCCTGAAAAATTAGGCACGATGTCTCATGAAAACAGGCTCTCATGTGAGACTCCCAGTGTCCCCTGCTTCTATTCATAAGAACAGCCTCACTCGGACAACACTGCTTCACCCTGTCCAGAAACAAGAAATGCAGAGGTGCAAAAAACCTGAAATCACACTCTTACCTTTCATAAATTCCCCAAAAGGGTTGGTATTGATTCAGTTTTTGCCAGACATTTAAGTTAATTGTCAGGTTTTAGAAAGGTGCAGTTAAGACCCTGTCCTGGGACTAAGTAGATCAGGCCATTTCCGGATATGCCACAAACTTCCTGTGTGTGACCTAGGTAATTCACTCAGCATCTGCTCCTCAGGTTATGATCTGTAAAATGTGGATAATAATACTTCCTCATCTAACCAATCCTCTCTACCATTATTTTCTAAGGCTTGTCTATTGAGAATGTATAGCAGGATTGTGTCTCACTATAAATTTGTACAGTGCCTAGCCCAGTGGAGCCCTGAGATTAATAGTGGCCTTTAAATTCTACACTAATAAAAATAATAATGTCACCTGATATTGTCCACCTATCCAGTCCAAATTACTTTGTGATTCACACTTTAAAAATGAAGAAGCTTTCACTGTATCTGCCTTAAAAATACAAATCTTCATGAGGAAAGGCATAAATAGTATAATATTTGGGACTACTGGTCAAAATGTTCAGGGCTTTTTATTTAGAGAGGAAGGAGACTGCCAGCATTGATTGGCATTTCAGAGGCAATTTCCAGAGAGAACCGCATCTTTAAATCCTCTAAGTCAAACTGTTATAGAAAACGCTATTAGGTGATTGATTCATTCATAGCCCCACCAATGCTATGCATAGAGTAAATTATTTAATCTAAAATCTCTATCAAACTTTAGTAATCACAGTTTTCTTTTTAGAGACACAAGTGTAAATGCATATTGCGGTGTTCTCTCTGTCTCTTGCTGCTGTCATGAGAAATGTAATCAGTTCTGCCCACAAAGTTCCAATTCATCATTCCCACTGAACAGCTGTTTAAATCCTGTTGCACATGACGAATGTGAATTACAAAAACCAGTTAAGTGGCAGGAAAACAGCTCTGGATACAAAATAATCAAAGAAATCTGAAAATTTAGCCCATATTGCATATGAGGGAACTGGATGGCAGTGGTGGTTAGTAACTGGATACAGAGTCTAGGTTACTGGTTCAAATGCTGAGCTCATCATTGGGACTGAAAGTCCTTATTGTCTACTCACTGTGAGTTGGCCTACACAAAATGAATTAGTAGTCTAAATTAATTTAGCTTTTAATATAGATACCACTATGACAACAGGGTCTAATTCATACAGCATCCTTATGCAGAAGAATACACAAGCCTTTTACATGCTACATGCAAATATATGGGAATCATTTAATGTTCTACACTACCATGGTGGAATTTGGAAACTGTCTAGCAGAACACAGCAACCACCGACGGCAAACAACACTATTCCACCGAAATTAAAAGAGGATTTTTAAAAAGCCAAAATATAAAGGACCTATAAAGGACCCCTGTGAAGGACATGGCATTGCCTGTGATAGTTTATTAGCATCGTAAGTTCCATCTACTAGTTTGATTGTTATTGTGTTGTTTGCTATATGATTATTGAGGATTACTTTTAGTCTGGGTTAGGGTGTGTCTAGACTACTGAGTTTTGTTGACAAAAGTGGACTTTTGTCGACAAAACTATACCTGCGTCTAACTACCGGTGAGTTCTGTCGACATAACGTCGACAGAACTCAGCAGTTTTGTTGACGCTGGTAAACCTCATTTTACGAGGCATAACACCTTCTGTCGTCAGAGTTCTGTCGACAGAAGGTGTTATTGCCTGTAGGGTTGCGTCTAGACTACAGGGTTTTGTCGACAAAGCAGCTTGCTTTGTCAACAGAACTGAATGTGTCTAGACGCTCTATGTCGACAGAAGTTTTGTCGACAGTATCTGTCGACAAAACCCTGTATTCTAGACGTACCCTTAGTTTGCAGGTAAACAGGAAAAAGGAGAAACCCTACCAATACTTAAAGGGACAAAGAAGGTGTCATTCCCTTTGAAGTGTATCTCATATCATGCTGGGTTTGACACCCTTGCCTTGACAAAGGAGAAAGGAAACCCAGGTAGAAAATTGAAACACAATTTGAGTTGATAAAAACCGGAGTTCCTGAAGGTTAGGTATCATGGTGCAGAGACTGCATTTGTGCAAAATGTCCCCCAATACAGCACGTTGTCTGAATAATCTCAGGTAGGCCTAGTTTATCAACACTTGGATAATGACCAGGTATAACTTTTTATGATCCTGGCCCATGTCATGTAATAAGGACACAAACATCAATCTTTCACATGAAATTCTGTGTATTACACCTGTATTAAAATCATTCTATTACAAGATGAAAGTAGGAGGGCAAGTTTTTAAGGAGGAAAATAGCATCTCGCTGTGACATGTAGGCTTTGTCTACACTGCAGGGTTTTTGCACAAGAAACTTTTTGCAGAAAAACTTCTTGCACAAAAGCGCGTCCACACCTCAAAAGTGCATCGCAAAAGCGATTTGCTTTTGTGCAAGAGAGCGTCCACACTGCATGGACACTCTCTCGCAAGAAAGTTCTGATTGCCATTCACAGAATGGCCATCAGATCAGCTGTGCTTTTTCTGATAGGCTCTTTTTGTGCAAGAAACTCCTGTTGAGCATCCATACACTTTTTTGCACAAGAAGGAGTTATTCCTTGTGGGGAGAGGAATAACTCTACCGGCAAATGCCCTCTGTCCTGTCAATTTACTGTATTTTTTGGGGCGCAAAAACGTGCTTGAGGTGTGGATGCTCCACCAATTTTTGCGCAAGCCATTTTTGTGCAAAAACGTTGTAGTGTAGACATAGCCATAGGATAAATATCTTCCTGTATCATCACATACCGCTGTTACCATGGTTCAAAGGCCAGAATAGGTGCAAGAAAGAGTCTATATTTTGATTCCTGGGGCCTGTTTTTGAAAACTGTTCATTCAGTCTGTGCCACCCCTTTCATTATGTTATCACACTGAAGAAGAGAACCCCTTACTTGGATATCAGTCAGCTGATTCAGGAAGCGGGTTGCTAACTGCGGTCCATTCTCCATAGTTGGAACGTGCAAATTCTAGGATGGAATTAAAATGAAAATAATTCCTAGAAGCTTATCATGTACAACAGTAACAACAATGGCATACATCTATAAATGCTTTTTAAATCTGAGGATCTCAAATCACTTCACAAACATTAATTAAAGCTCACCACACAGGTGGGTATGAATCATTAATACCTATTTTATAGGAGATACAGAAAACTTAAGGATCAGCTCTCATTGACACCAACTGTACTACTTCTATTGACTGTAATGAAAGTTGATTGAGGCCCTTCTAAGTGACTTGGTTCAAGGAGTGGTAGTAGAGCCAGGAATAGAACCCAGTTGCTGTAGGAGTCTAAGCAAGCTCTAATCAATACACCACACTTGCCTTCTTGCTCAATCAGTAATGCTTGAGGAGTATGATCATCAACTTAAAGAAGCACCATTCTATTTACTATCTACACAATATAACGTATTAAAACAAAACAAGTACATTTACCATTATTTTCAATAGTCAATATCTCAATGTTTCTCATTTGTATTTCAAAATTGGGATGATAATAATAATAGATAGAGTCCACCTATTAGACGCATCATGTTCTACATCATTATTTTATTTGTTCTATTATTTATCTTCACTAATAGAACAAAGTTTCACTAATCTGCTAAGTTCACTTTGTGCCACCTAAGCGGCACAAAGTGAACTTAAACAAAACAGAGAAATGCTCTACAGAATTCCCCCTGTCTAGGAGGAATCCCAGCTGTTGTTCAGAAGACAGAAACAGCTATGCCAACTCATGTACTAGCTCTGCTATCTTTGTCCTCTACAGGGGTATGTCTACACTACCCCGCTAGTTCCCACTAGCGGGGGTAATGTAGTCATCCGCAGTTGCAAATGAAGCCCGGGATTTGAATTTCCCGGGTTTCATTTGCATGAAGCCGGCCGGCGCCATTTTTAAATGCCGGCTAGTTCGGACCCCGTGCCGCGCGGCTACACGCGGCACGGACTAGCTAGTTCAGATTAGGCTTCTAATCCGAACTAGCTGTACGCCTCGTGGAATGAGGTGTACAGCTAGTTCGGATTAGAAGCCTAAGCCGAACTAGCTAGTCCGTGCCGCGTGTAGCCGCGCGGCACGGGGTCCGAACTAGCCGGCATTTAAAAATGGCGCCAGCCGGCTTCATGCAAATGAAGCCCGGGAAATTCAAATCCCGGGCTTCATTTGCAACTGCGGATGACTACATTACCCACGCTAATTCAAACTAGCGGGGTAGTGTAGACATACCCCAGGAGAGCTATCATGCCTGGTGTAAGTGGAAGGCTCAAGTGAGTCTTGGGATAGAGTTAGGAAAGAGACATATTAGGGGATGGAAGGAGAGTGGTCATGGTGGAACAAAGCCTTGTTTTCTGTATAACCTGTTTTTGATGCTGAAGAAACTTAAATCTACTCCTCTCCAATTTTAACTGAACTGTGACTGGCTATTAAGAGAGAATCAAACTGGAAACCACGTCATAGAGCTGGTTGAAATGCTAACTACACTATTGTGAACACATTTCAAATTTGGAATTTTTTTTGTCTGAATGAAACTTTTTGACCTCCATTTAAAATAAAATTTCCTCCATTTTTATACTTCAGAAATTTCAAATTAAACACACAAAAAAGAGCGAAGGGAAATTTTTGGGGAAAAAACCCACAGTTTTCCTCAACTAGTGTTCAGTCACTTGGAAAGAAGTTAGGAGGTAAAATATTGACAAAATACCTCTCTCCATGAACTCAGACAATGCCACACTGTAATTACATGTAGAAGAAAAACACAAATACTTTCCTTACCTTGCCTTTGTATAATATTTTAGAAATAGGACATACGACACAAGCTGTCCCCGCACCAAACATCTCCTTCACTCTGTTTTCTTCCAAAGCAGCTGTCAGATCACTCATGGTGATGTATCGCTCAGACACTTTAAATTCTCCCTGTACCAGAAGATCAGACAAACACGGGGCAGAGCTTCTTAATGGTCATAGTACTTTGCTTGCATTAGACACTTATACTGCATTATAGTGATGATATTTTTAACAAACTCAATTGCAGCGAGTAATTTTTTTAGTTGAAGGCTAAGAAGGTATGGCCTGGTCAGCAGCTTCTAGATGAATGACCACCAAGGAAAAGAGATCTCTATGCTGTGGCACTTTCCCCTGTAATTTAGCAATGAACCTCAGCATGATGTTCAGAAATACTGTGCAGTTGGAGCAGAACTTGTAGGTGAGATGTAAAACAGAGGACCTGCCTGCTTTTGATCACTGATGACTTTCTAGCACTTTGCGCATGAGCACTTGTTTTCAGCTATATTAGCTAAATTCTACTAAAGCTAACTACATTCTGCTCACCTAAAATCCAACTGTAATTCCAGCTGGATGAGTACACGGTTTCAGGCCCTGCCCTGACTGGGTACTTGCTCCTTGCATGTAGCTCCACCTCCTAGGCAAAAATTAGCTGCATCTCAGAGGTGGAGGAAGTGATTCATGTTGCATGTAAACATGATAACAGGCCACATGTTACCCTGCATAGCAGAACTAGGAATCCCTCAGTATCTTTTCTCTCTTCCTGATTGAGGGGAAATTTTTCAAAGAACAAAAATAAACATTTTGAAAATCTTTTCCATTTTTGTGGACATTTCATTTACTTATCAGAGCCACCCACAATTCAGCCTGTGTGCTCTGCATATGCCACTGATAGGCAGCAGTGCTAGTCTAACCAGCAGAAAGCATGGGGGTTGTTTTTGGCCAAAGAGGAACGTGGAGGGATATGCAGTCAGGTAGCAAGTCTATAGGTAGACGAGAAGAAAAGGCTTGTGCAGGAGAGAGGAGAGTGCTGGCTAAGTAAGCAGACTGTAGTCTAACATCTCTGCAATAAGGCCTTGGTGACTGACTCCCTTTTAACTCTGCAGTGCCATAGGGTGTGCTTGAAATCCCAGACAACGTAACATTAGCGATTGTTTGAAAGGTGGTGTTGATTTTTATGTGGTAATTACATAACTGAAATCTGCAAGAATGCAGGTACTAGTGCGTTCTGCCTATGACTGGGCTTAAAGCTGTACCCGGGTTCAGAATAAAGGTGGAGACACACGAGCTATCGGTGGTGGAATAAGGAGCTGAGGAGTAGATTATAGAGGGGGTGATGAATAACAATTGCTTATTTCCTTATTTTAAGCCAATCGTATCAGTGGGATATGGAGTCGGGCAACTCTAACACAAAGTTAATGAAGATTTTTATGTGGGAATACAAACTGGGAATTAATTAAACAAGCTGTATGTGGCTGTGTGGATCAAATGCTGGGCAAGACTTTTTAATTTAAGCATGCTCCCTCAGTTCCTATTTGGTTTAAAGGAGTTACTGGATGGCTTTGTCTACATTACACGTTTTTGTGGCAGAAAATATGTTAATGAGGGACTCATTACCATAAGTCACTACATCATTAGCATATTTTCTGCCATTTGTTTTTGCCCAAGGGGTTTTTGCACAAAAAGAAGCAGTATAGCCGCTTCCATTTTGCGCAAAAAAAAACTTTTGCGCAAGATCCTTATGCCTCTCCGGGAGTCCTTCATTAGCATATTTTCTGCAGCAAAAACGTGTAGTGTAGACATAGCCGATCAGATGGAACTATGAGCCATTACTTGAAAGCAATAGATGAGTGACTTCCACAAGAGTGTGTCTCATGCTACTGTTGAGGGACAAAGCAAACACCCACCCACTGGTGTGCCAGCTCCAAGATGCTTTGCCTCGTCACTCCAGGAAGAATGAGGCCATCTAGTGGCGGGGTTGCCAATTCCTTTTCTGTTGAAACCAAACCACAAACAACATAAAAACATATTTAAATGAGAGCAGAAATATCAGGTATTAACATATCAGATATCATTCGACACAAACATTGGTTAGAATTTCAGAGGCAGTTTCTTAATTGCCCAAACTCAGTTGGATGCCACCTGTTTTGAATCTATGCATGTATCTGAGTGAATTGTGAATAAGTTCCAGGGGATAGCTGAGTTAGTCTGTTACAGAAAAAACCAACAAATGGTCTGGTAGCACTTTATATAGACTAAGTACCCATTCTCCAGATACTTAATGATGCCGTCTCACACACCCCTTCCTTTTTTTCTTTTTCTCCTCCCCCCCTTCTTTCCCTCTCCCATTTATTTTGAGTTTTCATACCCCCCTACTCATAACTCCGGTCATTTGAGGAAGTGGGCTGTGCCCACAAATCCCCCCCTTCTTTCCCTCTCCCATTTATTTTGAGTTTTCATACCCCCCTACTCATAACTCCGGTCATTTGAGGAAGTGGGCTGTGCCCACAAAAGCTCATGCTGCCATCTGCATGTTTTGTGAGTCTATAAAGTGCTGCCAGACCATTGTTGGTTTTTGTGTGAGTAAGTGTATCTAGTGGTTAGAGCACATGACGGGGTTCTAATCCTGGCTCTCACATGGGCTCACTGTGAGAGCTTGGCAGGGTGGCCAGATATTCCGTTTTTAAAGGGACAGTCCCATAGTTGAGCCCTCTAGAAGGTGTCCCTGCTTTTTCTTAAAATTGGGCAAACTGTCCCATATTTTCTGTCTCCCCCCTCACATCAGTACTGGAGGATCCTAGTGACGGCTGGATCCTTGCTCCCCAGCCCTTGATCCACCAGAGGTGAGTGGTGGGGGTCCACTGGCTAATGATGGGGGCAGGTGTGGAAGGCTGCTGGCTGGGCAAAGCTGCAGTGATTGGTGAGTGAGGGTAGGCAGTGGCTGGTTCTGTGTTGCCTCTGCTGCCTACCCATCAGCCCTTCATACGCTCTCCCTCTCAAAGTCCTCTCCCTGCTCTGCCCCTTCATCGCCTCAGCCCTGCTGCTCCTTCATATCCCCTCCCAGCTGGGTGTGTCCTGCTCCTAACGCTGTGCAGAGAATCAGCCCTTGGTCAGATCAATCAGTTCACCAACAGCCTGGCTGGCAGCTCCTTTCTCCCACACTGCCTCTGGCTGGGCTGGCAGCTGTGGAAAGGTCAAGACCCTCTGGTCCTGGGTGCTGGCCAGGAGGAGCCAAGCCCTGCATGTGCAAAAGCCCCACCCAGCACTGGCAAAAGGAAGCTTCTCTGCCCCTCAACTAAGCTCTGGAGTGGTGGAAGACATCTCTTTCCAGCCTGTTTGTGCTCGACCCTGTAGGATCCGCAGCGGCCCCTGGGCTGGGACACTTAGCATCCTCTTCACATGCTGCCCCTGCCCTAGGTTCAGCCTCTAGGAAATACAGGGCTACTGTAC